GTCTGATTGCACTGGTATCGGAGCTGGTACCCGCTGTTCCACGCGCCGTCGTGCGCAGGCGCCATAGCTGAAGTGACCGCCGGAGGAGGCAGTCCGCCATAGCGGACCTCRAGGTGGAAAAGGACGCCRCGCACCTGCAACAAGAAGACCACTACGARRRRAGAGAGAGAGTGAGAGAGAGAGAGACATGAGTGATACAAGATTGGTTACTCACCTGCTGCGCTGAAGATACCGCTACGGCGGAAGAGAGAGAGAGAAAGGGAGGACCGAGAAGGAAGGACTGAGGAGAGAGAAGAAGAAGTGTGGAAGGAGGAGATCGAAGAAGAAGACAGACATAGCCGGGGGTGTGTATAAAAAAAAAAAAAAAAAAAAAAAAGAGAGAGACAAAGAAAGTGAAGGAAGGGGGAAGTAGATGGCGAGGGTGACGAAGGTGAAGGTGCCGACAGCCATAGCCGAGGTGAGGAGTTGACCGGGCGTTGACCAGACCGTTGACCAGAGGGTTGACCGAGGGTTGACCAAGCGTTGACTAGGGGTGTTGACCAAGCGCTAACCGGGGTAGACCGCGTTGACTCGGCGTTGACCAAGGCGTTGACTGGAGCTGCTGTCCAAGATTTTGACCAAGCTGGAGTTGGTGATATCTCGTTGACCCTTCAGCCTATCCCCTTACCCTGTGGATGTGCACTTACCCCACGGTACTTGCTGAGTCTGTCTGTCTACTCTTTCTGCATTGAGTCTCTTCTGTCCTAGGTGCTAGGAATCTGTGGATGAAGGATAGGGCCTTGCTGCCAAACCTGCACGGGGTTAGTAGGACCAAAGCTCTACGCTGGCACTTGGAGACCTGGGCATGAGCGGCGAGCGCTCGTTAAACAACTCGTCTAGCCCAATGACCGGTACTGTCCGGCAGGTCTACTGAGTTCAGTGTAGAGGGTCTGAACTCCGGGCTGTAGGCTGAAACGAGGGCCGTCTTTAAGTATTGAGGCCTGGTTGAGCCACTCCCCTACCGGACCTAGTAAGGCTGATGATCTGTGTCTGATGACTCGACTGTCCCGAGGGATACGAACCCCTCCAAGGACTGGTACAGACCGGCGGGCTGCTCGGTGTGGCACAGTAGGCCGGAACGGCTGAGTTGCGGGCTGAAATCGCCAGAGGAACCAAGCTGATCGCGTCGTCCTGTCTGCGACGTTAAAGAATTCTTGCGGAGTTTGGGGGATCTCCTTAAATGCCTCCTGATCAGCTTTTGGTTCTGTAGTGACAGTCTTAGAGTAGTCTTGGGTTAGTAGTGGCCATAGTTGACAGGGTCTTATCCTGTGGTCCTTAGGAAGTCAGTCAGCCAGTTAGTGTGTCCGGGTAGGGCTACGTGATGAGGAGTGGGACCCTTGTCGTGCACCAACACCACGATGGACGACTACCCGATGTATGGGTTGCTGGTTGGGTTCTCCCTCTGGGGGACCCTCTGGCGTCTCCTCTTTCCTCTGGGATTTTGGCATATCCTTGCGTGTAGAGTAGGGCCCACTCGAGGTGGTACCGCCACCCAATCATACACGAAGGAGGAGGAGGAGAAGATGGTCGTCATCCTGCAGGAGAGGAAGGAGAAGAAGGAGGCCAAGAAGAAGGCCTTGAAAGAAGAACAGGCGGCCAAACTGAAGAAGATGGAGGAAGAAATGGCCAGGGAGAAGGAGAGGCTGATAAAGGAAGAAGAGGAGAAGCTGAAGGAGGTGGACGAAGACGAGGAGGGACCGCCACTGCAAAGGAGTGGGCAGCATAGCGGCCGCAGCGGTGATGAGTTGGAGAAGAAGATTTCGGAGTGGGTCGCCAACTTATCCCTGGGTGAGGAGGAAGAAGTTGCTATGTACATCCCCAAGGATGAGCAAGAAGCCGCCATGAAGAAATGGGAAGCAGAAGAAGATGTTCTGACGCGGCGGGCGATGGAGGATGAACAAAGGATGGAGTGGAAGCTCGCAGTGATGAGGGAGAAGAAGAGAAGAGTGGAGGCGGCGAATGCGGCAATGCAGGAACTGGAGGAGGTGAGGGCTTCCGTAACCACACAATTGATTTCGCAAGTGGATCTCCAACGTAAAGTGGAGATCATCGCCCAGAGCGTTGAGCGGTTAGCTAAAGTGCAAGAAAGGCACTTTGAGTTTAGTCGCAGCCAGGAGATATCTGTACGCTCGATGCAAATGGGCTTACGAGACTTTGCTCGCAAGTTAGTAGGCGCTGTGGGGTCCGAGGTGACTCACCGCCTCGAGAAGACTGAGCGTTCTTGTGTCGGCGCCATTGAGGGCGTCAAGGTGGCCGCCCCCAAGGAGGAGGAGGCTCGTCCTCGCAGGGAGCCGGTCAAAGTCAAATTCCCTGATTCCTATAGTGGGAAAAGGGAAGAGAACTTTGACAATTGGGAGGCCAATGTTAAGACTTATGTGCATCTGCAACAGGTATCCCCGGATCAGCAGGTCCTAATTGCGATCCACGCGCTTAGAGATGAGGCCGCCAGCTTTGCAAGGTCCCAAGTTCGCACTACCAACTGTAGTGACGACCCGGTAGCGTATTCCTTGTTCACGTCCCTCACTGAATTCTTGAAGTTGTTACGCGAGCGATTCGCTGTTGTTGCCCGTAGTGTCAAAGCCTCAGATAGGCTTCAGACAATACACTCGCGCCAATGGAAGAGTGCAAGGGCACTCAAGGGCACAATGGATGAGTTAGTGGCTGTTCCTGACCACAAGGTCACAGAGACCCAGTTGGTCAACCTCTTCTACCGGGCCATGCCCGAAGCGCTGCGTGGTCACTTCTTTGACAAGATTCAGGACCCTGCTATGACTTATGATATACTTAGCAGGGAAGTGGTCGCGTTCGAGGCGAAGTCTGCGTCGATTTCCACCTTCTGGCACAAAGATTTAGACAAAGGCAAAAAGTGGAAGGGCCGCACTATCTCAGGGCAGGTCAAGACTAAGGATAGCCTTGTGCTCACTTTAGATGAAGGTAGTGTGGATGAAATCCCCTACGATCAGATAGAATGGGGGTTAGAGGAGGAGCACAGCGGTGCGGGCCAAGGGAGATCCTATGCTGTTGTCGCGGCTGGAGGGAGGCCACAAGGAGGAAGAGGTCAGGGCCAAGGGGGCCGGGCCTCAGGGAGCCGGTTTCAGGGCGATCAGGGGGTTGGCGACAGAGGAGGAAACCGCCAAGCGAGAGGAAGGGGTCAAGGTCCCCCGCAAAACCGTCCTAGGAATAGGTCTCCCTATAGGGTAGGAGGATGGCACCCAGGGCTACCGCAGGGTAGGCCTTTGGAATCTTTGGGTCTGGACCAGGCTTTATGGCAACAACGATTGGACCGGGGCCAGTGCATTTTCTGCGGTGACCCGGGCCACATCATCAAATATTGTCCTAAGTATAGAGAGACCCGAACGACTGCCCAAGGGCCAAAAGGCAGCCGCCGGTAGGGGTAGCAACTGCCCCTACCATTAGGTCATGTGGGGAACATAGCGCTAGCCGGCAGGAGACTCCCACACCACATGTGCTTATGGCAGAGGTTGCAAGCCGGTGTCTAGATAGCTGTCCCGAATCTGCTTGTGTTAGAGTTTCGCTAGACAGCTCCCTCACAAGCGTGGCCGAAGAATTGAAAGAGAGGATGCCCGCCTGGGCCAAGATGAAGAAGGAGAATAAAGGGCAGCTGATTTTGTTAGATACAGAGATTTTTAGAAGTAGAATAGGGGCCCTAGTAGACTCAGGGGCCACTCGCAGCTATATTAGTAGGAAAGCGCTGCAGAAGTTGAGGCTGGGACTTAAAGTCCACAAGCTGACAGACCCCATAGTTAGTATCCTCGCGGACAATCGTACTACGATTGTAGAGGATTATGTAGAGGGAGTCCAGGCCTATTTCCGCCTAGAGAAAGATGGGAAAGTGGAGAAGGTTCTCCACTCCCTGACTCTCCTCGTAGAGGACACCCTCCCATTTGACATTGTCCTGGGAATGGATTGGGGAGAGGCAGCCGGGGCCACGCTCCATTTGAAGGAGCACGAGTGTAGGCTCCCTAATTCGTCAGGCGAGGCCAAGACTGCCCGCCTGTTCCATGTATCGGGGGTAGAGAATCCCTTGGCGCACTGCTGCCTCAGTGCCCCCGCGTTCGCCAGACTAGTGAAGAAGGAGTGATTGGAGGAACAGGTCTTTGTTGCCTATGTTAGGCCAGTGACTGAGCCTACGGAGGAGAAGCCGATGGACCCCACGATTGCCAAGCTGCTGGAAGAGTTTAAGGATTTGACTGAGCCGCCAATAGGCACGGTGCCGCGGCCCATCCAGCACCGTATTGAGATAGAGCCTGGCAGTAGAACTCCTAAGGGTGCGGTGTATAGGATGTCCCCGCGGGAGTTAGAGGAGCTGCGGAAACAGTTGGACGAGCTCCTTGAAAAGGGGTGGATTAGGCCCAGTTCGTCTCCTTTTGGAGCCCCTGTTCTCTTTGTACCTAAGAAAGAGGGAGAGCTAAGGATGTGCATAGACTATAGGGGTCTGAATGCTATTACAGTAAAGAATGCTGAGCCACTGCCTAGGATCGACGATCTCTTAGATTGAGTGCAGGGGGCTAAGTATTTCTCTAAGATAGACTTAAAGTCCGGATATCATCAGATAGAGGTACACCCTGATGATCAGTATAAGACAGCCTTCCAGACTAGGTACGGGCATTATGAATTTATAGTGATGCCATTTGGACTAACCAATGCGCCAACAACTTTTCAGTGGTGTATGAATGATTTGTTTAGGCCGTGGTTAGACAAATTTGTTGTAGTTTATCTAGATGACATCCTAGTGTTTAGCCGGACCCTCGAAGAGCATGAAGGTCATCTCAGGCAAGTCTTGGAGAAGCTGAGAGAAGCTAACTTCAAGATCAATGCAAAGAAGTGCGATTGGGCGAAGACCCGAGTTTTGTATTTAGGCCACGTCTTAGACGGAGATGGCGTTAAGCCAGAGGATAACAAGATCGCAGCGATTAGAGATTGGCCCACGCCACGTACGTTGACAGAGTTGCGCTCGTTCCTGGGCTTAGCGAATTACTACAAGAAGTTCGTAAGGAACCTATCCACCACCGTTGCGCCCCTTCGCAGATTGCTGAGAAAAGAGACAATCTGGAGGTGGGACAAGGACTGCACGTCCGCCATGAAGAACCTAAAGCAGGCGTTGATATAGTATCCGGTCCTTAAGGTCGCCGATCCGTCCTTGCCTTTGGTTGTTACTACGGATGCTAGCCAGTACGGCATAGGCGCAGTGTTACAGCAAGACGATGGCAATGGCTATAGACCCGTAGAGTTTATGTCCGCTAGGATGCCTTCATAGAAGGTTGCGACATCTACCTATGAGAGGGAACTCTACGCTCTCAGGCAAGCATTAGACCGCTGGAAGCACTACTTGCTTGGGAGGCACTTCAAAGTCTATTCGGACCATGAAACGTTACGGTGGTTAAAGACCCAGGCCAAGATGACACCTAAGCTTACTAGGTGGGCCGCAGAGATAGATCAGTACGACTTCGAGCTCAAGCCTGTCAAAGGGAAGTATAACGTAGTCGCGGATGCTCTGAGTAGAAGAGCTGATTACTTTGGGGCAATAGTACATTACCTCGATACAGGAAAGAATCTGCAGCAGAAGGTTAGAGAAGCCTACGCGCAGGACCCTATCTATAGTGAACTCCTTACGCGAGTCAAGGGGGCCCCAGAGACTGAGCCGAACTACCGCACTACTGGAGGGTTACTCTTCGAGAAGACTAATGTCTTTGACCGGTTGTGCATCCCCAATAGCGAAGAGATCCGTAGTCTGATTATGGGAGAATGTCACGACACAGAGGGTCATTTCGGTTGGCAAAAGACTTTGGCCAATCTGATACGCGCGTATACTTGGCCAGGGATGAAGAATGACTGCGTAGAGTATGTTCGCAGTTGCAAAGTCTGCCAGCGTAATAAGAGTTCTACGCACGCCCCGCTAGGTCTTCTCAGACCCTTGCCCATTCCGGATCAGCCGGGAGACTCAGTGTCAATAGATTTCATGGACACTCAAGTCAAGAGCAGGCATGGCAAGAGCCAAGTCATGGTCATAGTTGACCGCTTTAGCAAGTACGCAGTTTTTGTTCCTTTGCCTTCTGAGGCGCGTACTGATTTAGTCATACAGAGGTTCTTTGACTGTTGGATTAGTGAAAATGGAATCCCGCTGTCTATAGTTAGCGATAGAGATAGTCGCTTTACTAGCCAGAACTGGCAAGAACTCATGGGAGTATACGGATCTAAGTTGTTGATGTCGTCCGRCCGCCATCCRGAGACTAACGGTCAGACAGAGCAAATGAACAAGATCCTRCAGCAAGTTCTGCGCATGTATATTAGGCCAGATCAGATTAACTGGGATGAGATGTTGCCTAAAGTAGCTAGTRCRTACAATAACAGCGTGCATCTAGCCACCTGCCGCACTCCCAACGAACTGCACAAATCCTTTAGACCGCGCAGACCGTTTGAGGGACTCAACCGGGATCAGATTCAGAGATTGCCGCCGGGGACCCGGAAGTTCGCTGTACAGCACAAGAAAGAACTAGCTATTGTTGTAGAAAACCTCAGGAAAGCCCAGCATAGGATGATAGAACAAGCAAACAAACATCGTCGCCCTTCACAGTTCCAAGTAGGCGACTTAGTCTGGGTTAATTCCAAAGAGTTTGCGCCTGAGGAGAACATCTCGCAGAAGTTACTGCCCACATATAGAGGACCGTGGCCTGTTCTAGAGGTCAAGGGCGGCGAAGATGGACCGTCCTATACCATAGGGCTACCAGCACACCTCCACACTTACCCAGTTTTCCATGCGTCAAAGTTGTTACCTTGTCAAACAAGTGATCAGTTTCCATCCCGTAGATCGATGATCCCACCTGATATGGATGGAAGATATGACCTAGATGGTATAGTGGCTGAGTATGTCTTCAGAACTGGAGGTAGAGGTCATCCGCAGAAACAATACAAGGTTCATCTAAGCTATCAGGAACCGGAAGACGACCGCTGGTTTACAAGATCTGAACTTCTAGAGACAGCTCCCGATATAGTCCGGGCCTATGAGAGACAACAGAAGGGTAAAGGTCCTGCCTTGGATTGAATTTTTCTCGGAGGACCTCGAATTTAGGCCGGCGGGAGTGAAACGGTAATCACCAATTCGCAGTAGCGAATGCAGATCCCAGGGCTCGATCCCTAGTTCCCTRKYTTACCTRTGTACAGTATTGATGTCAACCCGTAGACTTGAACCCGCGACCTGTAGGATCGCCAGTGGTAAGCAGGGTTTCGTAGGTCACAGCTTAGAAGGGAATCGAACTGTAGACCTGTAGGGTAGGAGTCTAGACAGTTCCAAAGTCGTAGCTGTAGGATGCCTGAAGAGTCAAGGTCGTAGCTGCTACTTACCTGAAAGGGCAAAGTCGTAGCTGCTACAGTACCGAAAGGCCAAGTTCTAGACTTCTAGAAGTGGCCTTTCGGAGTTGGCCTGTGTTCAGCAGAGGCAAGTGGTCAAGTGGTGGTAGTCCACCTAGCCCAGTCAGCAGTCCCAGTTAGTCAGTCCGGTCCTGTTCAGCAAGTACCGTCTGGGACTGTGTGCACATCGTGGGCCAAGGGATACAGGGCAGACCAACGCAGCGCAGAAGTATAAATCAAGAGGCTGCGTCCAGCCATTCATTCATTCCTGCGGATGCCATGCGGAAGCGCTGCCTCAGCAGCTTGTGCGAGGAGGTCTGCAGTGTGCCCGAGGACGAAGTGGGCAGAGAAGTGGAGTGTAGCGATAGGGTAGTGGCAGCTAGCGCTGCCATAGCCATAGTCTAGTGTGTGTGTGTTGTGTATGGACACTGAGTGTCGCGTGTGGGACATCCAGGGTGATCTCGAGTGTGAACAGTGAGTTGTATGGGCGCACAGTCGCCATAGCCAGTTGGAAGAGAAYTCGTATCTGGTTACGATATCTTTGAGTACTGTGTGGGCGCATGTCGCCAGTTTGCTGTATCGCTGTTTGCAAGCTTGATGAAGTGTGAAGAAGTCTACAAACTGGATAGGACCGGTTCGGGTGTGGACTGTGGAAGCATGGCATCCAATTCTTGCAGTTGCAGTTGCGGTTGCGGCATCAAATGGCATACAGTGTAGACAGACGTCACAAGCTACGTGGCTCCTGTGTGTGAGTGTGTTTGAGATGTGTGTGCACTAAGGCGCACAAAGGTACAATACATCAATGGGAGAATCGAATTGGTAAGCAATACATCGATGGGAGAATTGGTGGAAACCGCCCACACAAAAACCCTTTTGTTTTTTTCTCACCCAAACTTTTCCCGTTTGGCAAGAAGGGCCTACCAGAAAATGAATCTGGAGCAAATACAATGCCAGGTTCGAAATCCAGTAGGAAGAGGCCAAGCAGTCCCGACCCAATCTTGGCTGCCATCCGACGGCCCTGTATTGAACGTGGGCCCTTCTTGCCAAACGGGAAAAGATTGGGCACGGAAAACCAAAAGGATTTTCGCTTGGGCTTTATCTACCAATTTTCTCTACATCAATACTTGTACCCGCAGAGCTCCAACAAACCGTGTCAGCCCACATCTTGTAAAAAAAAAGAAGAAAAAAAAAAGAAAAGAGTTAGACACAGGGGCAGGAGTGATGTGGCAAAGCAGCAGAGCACACATCACTTCAAAGGCCGACAAAGCTTGTAGGCGTGGGACAGACGCATCCAGTAGTGGAAGGTAGGGAATTCTAAACCAGACTCTATGAACAGCATCTCCTCTTCAAGTGCAGTTCGCGGACTCGGTGTTGGACAGATGTATCCGGCAATTGAAGGTCGGGGATAAATATGTCAAACCATAAGAGCAGCATCTACGCTTCAATCCCTGTTTGCAGACGGACCATAAGGCGGGAGGGCAGACAACACACAAGGCAGGAAAACGACAACGACCAGAAACAAGAAAGTTCAGGAAGCTGATCCCTTGATAATCTGTGGAATGCCGGTACTTGATGCTTTGGGTCATGAACGCTTCGACCCTTGTTGAAAGCAGACTGTCCACAAGCGGAACACAGCAGCAGGCAACAACTCACTCAACAAAGCACCAGGCAATGCTGCCGGCCAACGCCGCGCAACCCGACTGCACAACACCTTAACTAACTGATGAGTGACAGTGCAAGCACAGCACAAGGCAACACCAAATTACCAGCAAACAAGCCAAACTACATGATGGCACACAAGCAAAGAGCGCGGAAGGCAAGGCATGCAGATGGGAAGCAAGTCAGCAGCACAGCGAAGCACATGACAACACCACACTGTGAACACAGCACCTGCAAAGAATGACACGTGAAGCAAGTGGGATGGGTAGTAAGGCAGCAGTGGAGCGCAGACAAGGAAGTCTGCACATCCAACACAGAGCAAAGCAGAACACATCACCTATTCAAATCACTCGTCAACTCCGCAGACTGTTGGTTGCCACCACCTGCTGAGTCAGGGAGTCACTCCGGGGAACGTCTGTCACTGCCCATAGACCATGTGCACCACACAGATATCATTTTTGAACAGAGCGGTCCCCATAGTAGTGTTGCAGGCATTCCAAACACCCAACCACTGTCTGTTTAGCACTTCATAAAGGTGCTCACAGTGACACAAAGAAAGTAAGAAAAAACAAGGGAAAACAGACAGACAAAGTACAACGAGAATACATAAAACTGATTGTGTTTGTGTGTGTGTTTTATATGAGAACAGGACGCTACCGCGATGTTAATTGCGCCGAGCTGCGCTTGAAAGTGCAACCAAAAGTCATACCATCAGAAGGCTGAGTGATCCACATCGTATGGAGAAGGCTCATATGCAAGAAAGATGAGTAATAGCGAACTTCAGCAATCGAACAGCATCATACATATGAGTCCAGAGAGTCGTGACCTCGAACCAACAGCAGAATTGCATCACGAGATTCACCAAATAAGAACACACCAAGAGTTCATAATTGACAATGCTGAAATAGTCCCATCATCATCAACGTAGAACCAGAGTTGATATCCTATCTGGCGCTCGGCACCCAGACTACATGTGGCAGATCCTATCTAGCCTATACTACAATGCCGAAGTTGACGACAACAGCTCTCCCGAAGTACGAGCATACAGCGACCAATGTCGCACGCTTCCAGCACCAGGTATGTCTCTTGCCTTACTCACAACCTTGTTCCCCAACACACAGATGCCACTAGCACCCAAGGACCACCCTGCGCCACACCCAGCTTACAGCAGCGCAGCTCGGCTATGGTTGCCTGCTCTTTCCCTGCTCGCCCGTGAGCGCGTAGGCGCCAGCCAGCAATTAGCGCAGCAGCAGCATGCAGCCAGCACCGGAATGCCGAATGCGGAGGCAGGCCCTTTGCTATATCGAAGTGGCCTGCCTGCGTCCAGTCCCAGGAAGCTTCCAGTAGGCCCCGGTAGCCTGAGGCCCTGCACGAACGAGAACAGGCCTTGGGCCTGAGGTGGTTGCATGCGCCCAGCTGCCTTTGGCCTGTGTTCGGCCCAGTACCCATATCCAGCCCAGGGCCTGCTTTCCATACATTCACACAGGCGGCCCAGGGCCTGGGTTCTCTCAACCAACTGGCGCTGCGCAACTGCCTGAATTTCCTTGAGTTGTGTGGTGACCAAAACATGGCCCTGAGGGCCTCGTCGAGCCTGCCTTCACTTAGGGCGGCCGACTTGCTTCAGAATGGGACCATAAGGGGCTCATAGAGGCATTGGCCTCGCATTCCCTCCTCCTTAGCTTCAACAGTCCTCTGAGAAGCTCAGTCTTCAATCATTGGGCGCTTTCCCTTCTGCAGAGATCTCTCGTAATGGGCTACAACTTGAGGAGTGGTCTACATGAGTTCCTCCCCTGGTGAACCAGCGGTCCTCCTTCGGATCAGTGTGATGCCGGAACCGAACGCGGTACTGCAGCTTCAGTTTCGGAGGACGTCCCCTGCCTGTTGGTCTTGCCACTGGCGTCTCCTGTGGTCCACGATATCATCGATATCCACCTCTCCGTCCATGGTTGGGGGCAGCATTGAGCGGCGAGATGGAAACTGATCTGTTTCTTTGAACGGTGCAAGCTTGGAGGCGTGAAAGACAGGGTACGTATGAAGATGACCACGGATCCGGACTACGTAAGAAGGTCCATCCGGATCAGTCCCGACAATATCTAAGACTTCCCATGGTCCAAAGTACTGTGGCATGAGCTTGCGGGAAATCCCGTGCTCCTGTCCCAGTTCAGAGGACTTAACCCAGACTTTGTCCCCAACCTGAAATGAAGACTCACGGCGGTGTTTGTTTGCAGATTCTATCATAGCCGCCTGTGCCTTTTGCATCTGTTCTACACCCTGCTGCATCTTCTGTTCATAACGGTAAGCAAATTCCAAAATACCTGGTGCAGCAGGTGACTGATTCTCAGAAGGAGAAAATCTAAGGGTTGTCTAGGCTTGAAAGTCAATTGCAAACTGTTTGGGCTCACCCCGGTGGCGCTGTGTACCGCATTGTTGTACAAACTGGCGATGAGAGCAAGCTTCTCATCCCAGTCCACATGGTTGGGCTTGATGTAATGCCTCAACAGATGTTGTACAGCGCGGCTCAGTTGCTCGGCCTGGCCGTTGGCCTCTGGGTGATTCCCATAAGTCATTTGCAACTGGGTTCCCTACTCTGCAGCAACGGCCTTCCACAGTTCGCTGGTAAATCGGACATCCCTGTCACTAATAATAGACTTCGGTAAACCAAAGTCTCTAACCCAGTTCTCTTTGAACATTTGGATCACATACTCCGTCCTTGTTGTTTCCGGCATTGCTACTAACCTAGCATACTTACTAAATCTATCCACGATAACGAAGATGTGTCTCATCCCACTCTTGTTGGTGACCAGCGTATCCATGAAGTCCATGGACAAACTCTCAGCAGGCCTTTCCGAAATCGGAAGGGGCTTTAGGATCCCAAGAGGAGCCTTGTCCCTCTGACATACTTGACAAGTCTCCACGTAAAGCTGGGCATCTCGCATCATCGTGGGCCACCAGAACCGCTGCAGCAGATTGGCTGCGGTCTTCTTGTACCCAAAATGGTCGGTGGCATCATGGCGCTCTCCTAAAAACAAACTACGCAAAGACTCGCTCTTCGAGACACAAAAACGTTTATTCCTAGCCTTCTAGAGGAACAGCAAGCCGTTGACCAACTCAAACTCGGCAGAAGTCACTTTGTCCTTCGCTTCGAGTCTGCGAATGATCTCGGACATGAATGGATCCTCATGATAGGATTCCACCATGGACTGAGTAACATTGTCCGCAAGCCCAAACTCAGTGATCAACGCACCAGAGAAATCTGGTCTACGCGACAAGGCATCAGCAACCTTGTTGTACTCGCCCTTGATGTATTGAGGCTCGAAGTCATACTGCTCTATGACTTCGATCCAACGCTTCAGATCGTCGGAGAGCACCGGTTGAGTTCTCATCCATCTCATTGTCTGATGATCAGTCCTGAGGATGAAGAACCTCCCAAGGAGATAATGCCTCCAATGGGTCAGAGCCTTGTAAACCGCATAGAGTTCCTTCTCATAGGTGGACTTGGCCAACTTCTGAGAGGGCATCTTTTTGGACATGTACTCTACTGGCCTCAACTTTTTCCCCTCCTGTTGTGCAAGTACGGCGCCTATGCCATATTGGCTAGCATCCGTAGTCACTATAAATGGCTTATCAGGATCAGGAAGTTTCAAGACTTCATAATGCGTCAACGCATGCTTCAAATGTTGAAAGCAGCCTCGCATCTCTCAGTCCACTCCCATGGGGTGTCAAGGCGGGTCAGATCAGTCAAAGAGGTGGCAACTATGCTATTGTTTTCCACGAAATTGCGATAGTAGCCGGTCATCCCTAAGAAAGATCTCATCTCAGTCACAGACTGAGGACGCAGCCAGTCCCGAATGCTGGCCACCTTCGCGTCATCGGGCTTTAACCCTTCCGCGGAAATCTCATGACCCAAGTACAAGACGGGTGCGGCCAAACTCGCACTTCTCACCGTTGATCTTGAACTTGTGTTGTCGCAGGAGACTAAGGACTTTGTTCAAGTGTGCAACGTGCTCCTCGACAATCTTACTAAAAACAAGTATGTCATCGAGGTACACGATGACAAACTTATCCAAGTAGTCATGGAAAATCCGATGCATAGCGTGCTGAAAGGTGCCAGGAGCATTGCAAAGGCCGAAAGGCATCACCACAAACTCGTACAAACCGTACACGGTCTGAAATGCGGTTTTGTGTTGATCCTCGGGCCGGATTGCAATCTGATGGTACCCGGACTTCAGATCTATCTTACTGAAGTACCGACACCCTTGCTCTCTATCTAACAAATCGTCGATGCGGGGTAGGGGCTCTCTATTCTTCACAGTGATGGCATTGAGGGCCCTTTAATCAATGCACATCCTAAGTGTACCCTCCTTGTTCTTAGGTACGAATAGTACTGGAGATCCATAAGGAGAGACACTCGGCCGGATCCAACCCTTCTCTATGAGTTCCTTGAGCTGTCGGCGAAGCTCATCAAGCTCGCCTGAAGACATCCGGTAGATCCTACCCTTCGGGATGCTAGACCCAGGGATAATCTCTATCGCGTGGACGACCTCCTTCTCGACAACCCCTGTTGGCTCTTCAAATAGATCAGGGTACTTGGCAACTACTCCCTCTATCTCCGGCGGTATTTTCATCGACTCGCGTGCAGCAGAGACATAAACTAGATACATACCCTCCTCCTGATTTTGCTTATAATAATTGTAGAACGCGGCTGCACACATGCACCCATGGGACTCAATCAGACTACTAGCTTTGAACTTGTGCAATCTGGCGGTCCCTCCACCTGGCAAAGTGTGTTTGACCACTTTTCGGTCCCAGTCAAACTGGGGCTGTGCCACAGAGAGGTAGTACATACCTAACAACATGTCCATGGGGAGTTCATCGCTAACTAGGAACGAGACATGATGTCTCAATTCCCCTCCCGTGTACGGGAAACAACACTCCCCATCTTGGAGGTAGTCATTGACTACCATGCGCTGTTTGTTGGCACAGGTCGACTCCACAGGTCGACTCAGGCGCTGCGCTTGCCCATGTAAGTGCAACCTCTCAACGCACGCGTGACTAATGAAGTTCCTGGTCGAGCAAGTGTTATAATAGGCTCTGGCCTTGCGGCCGCCAATGACAACCTCGCTGACGAACATTTCACCCTTACGGGCTTTGACTAGGGCCGTCCAAGAAGCTAGTGGGTCTGATCTAGACCACTCCTCCTCTAGCTCCTCTAAGGACTCAAACACATTCATCGAACAGAGGCTCGATAGGTCTGAACGTGTTTGCGGGACGACGCCGGAGTCAGTAGCTTGGGCCATCTCTCGAGATGGTGAGGGTGTCTCCACCACCTCGACCCTAGTAGGAAGAGCTATTATTCCTACTGGCCCGACGTGTTTGCCTGAAGTGCTGGCCACATTGCTACCAACGGGATGGGAGGATCCTACCGCCTGCCCCATCGTAGGTGGGATCTTGTCGGTCACCTTCTTGTTACGGCACTTGAATTGGTTATGGTCATATTGGCCACAACGAATACAAGCTTGCCGGGTGTACCGGTCTCTCCACACATCCTCAGTGAGACCCGCTTTCTCCCATGGAGGAGCATTGGGGTCAACTTGACTCCTAGACTGGCAACCTCCACGTCGTCTACCGGTCGCCTTACCTTTCTGTGTTACAACAGCGACTACTCCACCCCCTGAAGCTTCTACGCTGCCTGCCTCTGCACCTACTCCTTCCTGGAAGTTGTCGTCTAACTCGATGGTAGAACCATCGTTATCGAGAAACATAATGCGCCCCTTCGCCTTTTAGTTAGAAGGCAGTGTCTTCCTCCTTCCGTCTGTAGTGGGTGCCTATCCATGCCCTATCTTCGCCTCAAGGTCTAGGGCCTTCTTGCTAAACGAAGGAAAGTTGTGCATATTGATGTTGGCCTCACCTGCCAATTGGTTCCTGAGAGGCAAAGAAAAGCATCTCAGGTAGGAGGTGAGTAGTACCTGGGGGTCATAGCGCACCCCTGGGACACAAATTAGACGCTCAACAGCGTCGGTGACTTCCCTTACTGACTTGAACTGCCGCGTGTGCAGTGTCAAGATCGCGTCAGTGGCCCTTTGGGGCTCCTGAGGATCATGCCACCTTTCCTCCACCAGCTTAAGGAAGTCATCCAATTTCTGGGTGACCGCCCAAGCGCGGAAGTCATGACCATACCCCTGGAGCTGCACTAAACCACTCAACCATCTTGCTGCACTACCCTCTAGGTAGGAGGCAGCCACAAGCACTTCTTCGTGCGGCAAGGTAAGTTTACACCTAACATAGACCGGCACTGCCCTCAACCACGTGTCGAGGTCTTCACCTCTCTTATCCCCTGTGAAGGGTTTCGGAGCGGCGATGGTCGTCTTTGGCACCCACTGTGTTTGTCCCGCCCAAGCGCGGAAGTCGTGACCATACCCCTGGAGCTGCACTAAACCACTCAACCATCTTGCTGCACTACCCTCTAGGTAGGAGGCAGCCACAAGCACTTCTTCGTGCGGCAACGTAAGTTTACACCTAACATAGACCGGCACTGCCCTCAACCACGTGTCGAGGTCTTCACCTCTCTTATCCCCTGTGAAGGGTTTCGAAGCGGCGATGGTCGTCTTTGGCACCCTCTGTGTTTGTCCCGGTCCCTGCATCACTCCGGGCTGTGGACCCTGTGACACAGGTTGCTGTGCTAGCTGTTGGGGCTGTGTACCCTGCGGCTGTACAGACTGCGAGACAGCAGGCTGCGTGGTAACCGCAATCTGCAACGGAGATTGGGTGACCACTGTCTGTACCGAAACCTGCAAACTAGATCCTGCTATGATCCCTCCTGATAGCGGCATGCCCAGGGAAACGATCACAACCGATGATGGGACTACATATGGGGATACCCCAGTCACCGGTGGGACAAAAAGTGGAGGCTGTACAATGGGCCAGGCACCAGGCCCGAACATTGGCGACATAGCCTGCGCTTGCCCAACCAACAGGGTCAGACTTTGCTGGATGTCCTGAAGGATGGTTGTCTGATGGTCCTGCATCTCAACTACATTTAGCAGGACGGACCGTACGATCCTCACCTCATAAGTCACGAGCGTCAGGTCCATCTCCTCTAACTCACTAACGTCCGCTTGTCTCCATTGCATCCTGGCTCTTCTTCTAATCATTCTTTCTTTCTCCGCTTTTATATCTCCTAACGCCTTCTGTAGTTGTGCCTCCTGCAATGCTGCTTGTTGTATGGCAATCTCATCGGACGTCAACACCAGTGGCTGGCTTGCCATTATGCCAGCGGACTGACTCTGGGTCTGCGCGACCGTTGACCCGACAGAACCTGAACTACCGGCCTGAGTAGTCTGCTGCGCAGAAGTGGCCATGGCTTCCGAAGCTGCGGCCTCACTCACAAGTGCCCTGCTAGCCTCTGATGCTCTGGCCCTCCTCTACTGCTGCTGCCTCTCCCTAAGCTGGCGGAACAGATATTTGTCGCCCTCTGGTCCTAATGCCAAGTGGGCAATTGGGCGTCTAGTCGATCGCAAGATCCTCCGGTCGTCCTCTCCAGTGTCCTCCTCGTTGCTCATAAGCTACAGCCCTGTACACAATCTGCACTAGTGCACTCTAAATGCCTACCGCAGCGTAGTGCACAGACCAATTAACTGGTGGCTATTTCGGAGACTTTACATTCGGGCCCAACAGGTAAGTCAGATTCCTACAAATAAAACTATTTTTGGTTTGACTAGTCCACAAACAGAAGCACCATGAACAAGAAACAGTTCTAACTAATGTTGTCTGTCAGATGTCAATGGCTGTACACCTAACTAATCAAAACATAAAAATAGAATCATTTGTGTGGATAGGACAGCATGGAATTTTCTCGAACTTATCACCTGAAATCTACCACTCCCTTAGTTCCCCTGAGTATCACTTGACGTTAGCGTCCCTGAGCAATCTGGAGAGCGTCGCGTGTCTAAAGGTGTGTGTTCGGCCCGCCCCTGTGCCCCGAGTATCTGCTGAGCTGGCCAGCCCTGCACTGGATTATCCTTGCGTGCAGCGAGCCTTACAACCATTGGCTGATACAGAGGCAATTTAACGTCCGCCCCCAAGTGACTACGTCGCAGTCGGACGACGATTACAGCCAGTGGTTCCCCTTCCGATGCTTATTTAAAGGCGTCCGGTCTCGTCTCCCTTAAGGGCTGGCCTGCCCTTCAGTACCTATCTAACAGCGCAGCAAGCCAAACAAAGGACAAGCAGCAAAGCATGTGTGCTCTACTCCCGGTGGGTTGGCATGGTGACCGTGACCCAGTGCTTCGTCCGGGCCCTTCAGAAAGCTCCGCCCATCTTCTCCCAGATGCTCCACGTGAACATTGCCGACTCTCAAGGTTGAGCGCACTCGACACCTCACAATGAGAGGACTCTTAAGAAGGAACACAACCTCACGGTAAGAAGTGTCGAAGAGGGTAGATAAGGTTAAGAGCAACGTACCTCAAATAGCTGCCCCCAACCACAGAGATAATCTCACCAGATGACCAAATGGCGATTGCGATGACCAGTCACTGCATCGACACAACCAGCATTACCTCGTCGTTCCACCTCAGCATCAATCGCACATTAGATAGTTCTCATCACACTGTCCAGACCACATTACCCCACGTAGCCTTCCTGGCGATCCCCTCACCTCCTGGGTCGCCAACCACTCGTCTCCGCCCTCCTCACTACACACCACTTACGACCAAACCCGCCAAGCAGACCGCATGTATGTATCGTACCAGGCAGAAGACAAGCGCCAAATGAGCGCAATCGTACCACAATTCCGATACCAAATTGCAAGAAAGATGAGCAATAGCGAACTTCAGCAATCCTTTTCCGTGAGCGCGTAGGCGCCAGCCAGCAATTAGCGCAGCAGCAGCGCTTGCACAGCATGCATCCAGCACCCGAATGCCGAATGCGGAGGCAGACCCTTTGCTATATCGAAGTGGCCTGCCTGCGTCCAGTCCCAGGAAGCTTCCAGTAGTCCCCGGTAGCTTGAGGCCCATCACGAACGAGAACAGGCCTTCGGCCTGAGATGGTTGCATGCGCCCAACTGCCTTTGGCCTGTGTTCGGCCCAGTACCCATATCCAGCTCAGGGCCTGCTTTCCATACATTCACACAGGCGGCCTAGGGCCTGGGTTCTCTCAACCAACTGGCAATGCGCAACTGCGTGAATTTCCTTGAGTTGCGTGGTGACCAAAACAGGGCCCTGAGGGCCTCGTCGAGCTTGCCTTCACTTGGGGCGGCCGACTTGCTTCAGAATGGGACCATAAGGGGCTCATAGAGGCATTGGCCTCGCACATACACCCGAAACACAAAAGCAACAGATGTGCATACATCGACCTCTATCTTTCACAATCCTACCAACACCACAGGACTATGGCCCGAAGGCATTAGGCCACAAGACCACAAAAGGAAAGCAAAAGACAATCACAACTAGTCGCAGCTCAAGGCAGCAAGCCGAAAAAAATGACATAAGACAATCGACAAGGCATAGAACAACGTGCAGCAGTGAAAGGATGGAGGGTAAGGGGGAGGCGGGTGGGCAGGCAAACAACACAAAACACCAAAGCACACTAGGTGAAAGGCATGGGGTAGACGGATGGGCAAGCAAACAGCGTAAGGCAACGAGGGAAACAACAGCAAGACAAACGACGACAGTGCAAAAACAACACCGGAAAAAAATACAAGTATAAATAAAGGAAAGACTGAAAAAAATAAGCAGAGATGATAAAAGATTGTTTCGTCAGACTTGCACCGACTCATCAGGAGGCTGAACCCTCGACAATCTGCGGAACCTCCATATTTGATGGTTTGGGTCATGAACCCTTTGACCCTTGTTGAAGGCAGACTGTTGCCAAGCGGAACATAGCAGCGGGCAACAACCCTGTGGAGCGCCAGGCAACACAGTAGAGGCAACACGGCTGCACAACGCCAAAAAAGGACTGCAAGGAACGACATGGCACGCAGGACATGCAGCACAGCAACCGTGTAGTGAAGCACACGGCAACATAAACACGGCAACCACACTGCAAGCGATGACAGGGCAAGCAGACTAGCAATTCGGCAACCGTGGAGCAAAGCACAAGGCACCGGCAACAAGGCAACCAACCAATAAGGCCTGCAAGCAGCAAACACGGAAGGCACGGCCAGTGGAAGGGCAGCAAGGCAGCGGAGCAGCGAAGCGCAAGGCAACACCAACAACACGGCCACACCACACATCGAACACATCAACCTACAAGGAACAACATGCGAAGCAAGCGGGACAGGCAGCAGGGCAGTGGCAGAGCGCAGACGAGGCCATTCACACATCCAACACGAAGCACAAAAGCACATGACCTACTCACATCACGATGAACCCCGCAGAATGTTGGTTCCCAAACTTCCCACCACCCACTGAGCCAGGGAGTCACTCCGACGAGCATCCGTCATCACCTACAGGCAACACAAACATCCCGAACCGAGCGGCCTCCATAAGAGTGCAGTAGGCACTCCAAACGAGGAACCATCGACTGTTTGGCACTACTTAAAGGTGCTCAGTTGGGCACACAAAAAAAACTTAGAAAAAATCAGAGGGAGGACAAACAACAAAAGAAAGACTGACAAACAAAAAAACTGATTGTGTGTGTGTGTGTGTGTGTGTGTGTGTGTGTGTGTGTGTGGGTGGGTGTGCGTGTGTTTTGGACAAACAATGCACTACTGCGACGCTAATCGCCGCGAGCTGTGTTTGAAAGTGCAATCAAAAGTCATACCATCAGGAGGCTGAGTGATCTGCATCGTATGGAAAAGGCACATACATCCCAAACACGAAAGCAACAGTACATGTGCGTACATCGACCTCTATCTTTCACCAATCCTACCAAGACCAAAGGAGCATGGCCCGAGGACACTAGGCCACAATACCATAAAAAGAAAGCAAAAGACAATAACCACTAGCAACAGCGCATAGCACTGAACCGAAAAAATTGACACAAGATGATCACCAAGGCACACGATAGCATCGAGCAACACTGCATAGCAAAAGGCATAGCAAAAGGCAGAGGCTGGGTGTGTGGCCGGACAACACACAAGCAAACAAAACAAGCAAACCAGGAAAAAAAAAGTCCCGAAAACGAGCAACACTGACGAAAATAAAAATGATGATAGATTGTTTTGCCGGAGTTGCACCAACTCATCAGGAGGCTGAACCCTCGACAATCTGCGGAATTCCACGGCACACAGGACAAGCAGTGCGGCAACCACGCGGTGAAGCACAAGGCAACACCAACAAGGCAACCACACAGCAGGGGACGACAAGGCTAGTGGTCGAGCAGCACGACAACCATGCTTCACTGCGTGGTATTAGTTCGGTTGAATTGTCTGTGTTGCCTTGTGCTCCACTGCATACCACGCAGTGAAGCACAAGACAACACCAACAAGGCAACCACACAGCAGGGGACAACAAGGCTAGTGGTCAAGCGGCACGACAACCATGCAGTGGAGCACAAGGAAACACCGACAAGGCAACCAAACTACAAGGTGTGGACACGGAAGGCATGACCAGCGGATGAGCAGCAAGGCAGCGGAGCAGCAAAGCGCAAGCCAACACCAGGAACACGGTCACACCACAAAGCGAACACAGCAATTTGCAGAGAACCACATGCGAAGCAAGCAGGAGATGCAGCAAGGCAGTGGCAGAAGGTAGGCGAGGCAGTCCACATGTCCAACACGGAGCAAAGCGGCACATCACCTACTCACATCACGATTGAACACCGCAGACTGTTGGTTCCCACCACCCACTGAGCCAGGGAGTCACTCCGACGAGCATCTGTCATCATCACCCACAGGCAACACAGACATCCCGAACTGAGTGCCCCCTCTAAGAGTGCAGTAGGCACTCCAAACGCGGAACCACCGACTGTTTGGCACTCCTTAAGGGTGCTCAGTTGGGAACACAACAGAAAAAAAATCAGAGGAAAGACAAACGACAGGGGGAAAACAGAATTACATAAAACTGATTGTGTGTGTGTGTGTGTGTGTGTGTGTGTGTGTGTGTGTGTGTGCGCGCGCGTGTGCGTGCGTGTGAGGGTTGTCAAAGAACCCCAAACTCTCTCCTTATTCCGTCCACAAATCATCCATAAACATATATGTAAATGCACGTCGCACGGGCGGTTCCCTACGTGCGGCGCACGCGCCCAACCGATCCCGAGCGGCGCACGACCTGTGCGGAGAACGACCCATCACCCCCTTCAGAAAAGAAAAAAGGCCGGGTTCGAAACGGTGCGTTTGAGGCCCCCGCCAAAATTATAAGCGAGATGAAAAAAAAATTACAGGAGTACTCATGGTTGCATCCCTGCCCGACCGCCGACCGTATTGCAGCCGACCAGTAGGGCCGACCGGTCGGCGGTCTGCTGACCAGTCAGAAAACAACCGTCCACTAATTGTTTTTCAGATCTGAGTTGGAAGCTGTACTGCGCTTGCTGAGTACAGCCCAAATCCGCTGA